GTGTGATCTTTGCAGGGAACAGCCTAAATGAAAAAAAAGGGGGGGGGGGTTCGTTTTGTAGAATACTTATGTGACAACTCAGACTATTGACCAAAATGCCTTGACTTAAAAGAAACCTCATTTCATGTAAACCTTTACTGAGGCTTTTTGCATTTTATTTGGTGTGTTTCATTTTCTTGTACCTCCCCCAAATCCCCACTGTTGTATCAGGATTGTTTTTCCTTCCTGTACTAACATTGCTTTTCCCTAATGCCAAGCAATTTCAAATATTTATATGTATCATGAAGAACAGCACAAGGAGACAAAACAAAACAAAACATTTCCACTGCAATTCTTAAAAAAAGTATCTCCACTAATACACAACTGTATTCCAAAATTTATCAAATCATTTTTGCATGCTGGAAATAGAAAAACACGTTGGCTTCATATTCCTTTGGAACCACTTCACATGTTTATTTGAAACAGTAAAATCCCACTGCATTATCAGGCATCTTATTTTCACATTAGCCCCATTAGCCTAAAAAAAAGCATTAGAATTACTAACGATCACCATCAAAGATGGCCCTCTACCATGATAATAATTTCCAAACAAGAAAGTTTTTTAGGCCAATACTCTTATATAAAACAGTTGCTTTTGTGAAAAAGGACTGGTAAAATGACTATTTAGGGATATTTTTCTAAAGGCATGATTCAGCCTAAAATGAGTGTATTATTCGATAGAGTAAGTTTAATAAGGCAGACCTTTACAGTTATCTCAGGAGACAACTATTCATTAAGGAAGATCACAGCTGATGTAATATAATGTAGTACACAAATGATACAGAGAAATTAACTGCTACATGCATAATTGAAATAAACTGAAATAAATTATAGCACACATTGAAAAGAAAAACTCATGACTGATTTTGGCTAACTTTCCTTAGTCTTTCCCTTCCCGACAACAAGGGGAGATTAGTCAATAAAAAGAAAGATAATAAAATGTAAAGAATAGTAAAGAAAAATAGATGTTTGATTGGCTCATAATCCATGATTTGAAATGCAGAGTGGGTTTGCTTGCTTCTTTTATTTGCTCAGGGCACAGCCAGATGACTGCGCTAAAGTGTTTTCTTCTAGCCAGTGAGCCAGCAGAAGAGCATGCTAGCATAAACTGAACTGGCTCATTGTTGATCCTTGCTCTGCCTCAGTATTGAGACTAACAGCAGAGCTGTCCTAATTGTTTTAATATGGAACAACTAAAGGAAAGCAACTGATGGATTGCCCTGTCTTCATTTCTCCTCCAATCCAGGGTTGCCTGCCAGCAGGAAAAACAGCCACAAATGGCTCTCCATAAACTGTGGTGGGACAGGGATGGGTGCATAAAACAGCTGGTTTAGCCACCTGAAAAATTGCCTGATAAGCAGGTCCTAGGCACAGGGGTCTTAAGAAAAAGTGCTAAACCTGTGTCAGAAAAGAGCCTGGCTGTAGGTGCAAAGGATGGGTGCAGAGTGAAGTGGAAGGGAGCAATCAATCGCAAGATAACTCCATTCTTATTGTAATGGACAGAAGGAGTAACCTTGAGGAACAAAAGGAAGAGCCACAACCAAGACAGTGGTCAGATGAAAGAAATTTGAGTCCAGGACGGAAATGTAATTTGAGAAAGCGTCTCAGACTTGACCCTCCCTAGTTCTCATGAACATATAGGGAGGGAGGAGGGAAACGTATGCAGACTTGCAAGATTCTGTTACTGTAACCTTATAATAAAAGTAGTATTACCATTCATAACTTTGGTTTCCTAGTCTGGTCTGCCTTGAAGGGCTGACATCAAGATAGCATGGCTGGCAGCCCCCATAAGTAGTTCATGGAGTAAGCAAAATGGCGTAGGAGTATGCAAAAGGTGCTACCCCCTCTCCCCCCCCCATGTAATAAACAAAGTAAAAAGTATGGCCATATGGTATTCCTATCATGCACTTTCTGGTGACAGCTGGTAGACCCTGATTCTCCTTCCCAGTTTAAATCAATCTTCTGTGTAGCACAGGACTAGTGCTTACTCTCAAGAATGCCTGCTGTTTTTTTAAAACACTGAACAATAAATGTATGTTTAAAGAACAAATCTAGCACTTTTTCAAAAGAGCACTAAACATACATACACACACACACACACAAATTCTAGGAGTTGAAGTCCACCCATCTTAAAGTGGCCAAGGTTGAGAAACACTGCTTTAGAAAGTACCAGTCAGGCATTTTGTGACTGTGGAAGCCAAGTGTCCAGTCTCTCCGTCCAAGCCATAATGGCCAAAGAGGACATTGACACAGGGGAGTGGGTGTGTGCAAAGCAGCCTAAAATAGCCAGTGGGAATTGGGCAGATCCCAATGTTGTGGAACTGTGCTAGATTGTGTCCACAGCAAAAATTGTGGCAGAAGAGGGAAAACATTTTGTTAATCCTATGTAGCATCTTTGTCAATGTCATTCTTGTAACCTGTTATTTTTAAATCCGTATGTAAAACAGTCCGATTCTCAGTTGTATCCTCTTCTATCTCCTCCTCAAAACCCATTTTTATAGTATCAGACAATCTTAAAAGGAAGTTCTGGGTACATCGTTGCCAAATATCCTTGAATTCTTCCAGAGTTAAAATACTTTTCTCCATTCTGTATTACAGGTCTTCTCCTTTAACTGTAATCTTTCGTTCTTTCTGGTTGCCTTTACTAACCAGCCTTCAAAGTCTCCTCTTATCATGTTTTTCTCTAATCCACAACATTTTCCTATGGAAAGATTTCTTACACTTAACTTCAAGATGTTCATATGTTTTTAATAGGATTTTAAACCACAGGAAGGATTTTTATAATTAGTTTCAAAATCTTATTTCCAATCTAGCTCCTTAGTCCATTTAGAACTTTCCAAAATCAGTGTTCTAATCACCCTTTTGCTGCATATTTCCAAATAATTTCTTTCTTTAAGTTCTTAAACATATATTTTTTTCGTTGAGGATTGAAGGAGATTCACCCAGTGAAGTGAAACTTGTCCTTCTGAAGGTTCTTGGTATTCAAGAAGCAACTTACAAGCCATTTCCAGAAGTGATTAAGGGAGGAAGTGGGCGAACCTGGTATCCCTTTGAATGCTCCGAACCACAGCTTGGGCAAAGCTGACTCTCCCAGCTCTCAGAGCTCTAAAAACCACCAGAAACCACTGTTTTACAATCTTGTCACTATGGGTGATCCCAGGTCCTCCCCTTTGTCCAGGAAGGAATTTTGAGGTGCTGATTTGTTCATCAGCTCCTCATCCTGATGCGGTCTTTGGCTCTGCTAAAAGCAAAGCCATCTTCAATTCGCCATTGCTTCCCCAGAAGGCCAACCTTACTGGTGTTTCAAAGGGGCTTGAAGACCTGGCTCTTCACACAGGCCTGTAGTGAGCATAATTGAAGCCCCCTTTTCTTCTTTTTCTTTGTTCTCATCTGGGCTTGTTATCTCTGCCATCTTTGTTCTTTTTTGTTTTGTGTTGTTTTCTTGTTTCAATGTTTTTTTTTTAACAATTTGTAAACTGTCCAGAGTTCCTGGGAGTCTAGCAGCATATAAATGTAATAAATAAATAAACAAACAAACAAAAGGAACATTAAATGAATAATTAAATATAGGCGTATTGCATTGAGAATTATTTTCCTTTCATGTTGATTGATAGGAACTTGAGGGCTGCTTGAGAGGGATGGAAAACAGACAAAGTAATCTGGCATTATTTTTAAGAGGGATAAAATTGTATCTAATAATAAATGCATTTAAAATGATGCAGGCAAGTTTCATTTGTTTTCCCAATGGAATTTTTGTCCTTGCTCTTTGAACCACTTTTTATAAATAGTATCTTCAGCTAGGCCATAGAGAATTTTAAGTAATAAAAACTTTATCTTCATTACATATTTAGCTGAGTAAAGGACTAATTCATATGTGCATGGTTGCAGTGACAGGCATCAAGACATTTCTGGTGTAGCAAAAACTGTTAGGCTTATACTAATTCACATATAATAAATCATGGTTTGTATAAACATGATTTGTTAAATAAGCCACAATTGTCTGTATTCATACATTAACCCATGAGTGGGTTCAAATCTTATACTAAACAAAAAATTAACAATAGTTTCCTTTCCTTTGCTTGATTGGGAGGCCCTTCAGAGAGTCACTCATGCCCTGATCACCTCATGGCTTGACTACTGCAACATAATCTACATGGGGCTGCCCTTGAAGACTGGTCCAGAATGCAGTGGCACAGGCAGTGATGGACATGCCTTGATATGTCCATGTAACACCTCTGCTTCATGAGTTGCAGTGGTTGCCAGTTTGCTTCCAGATGCAATTCAAGGTGCCAGTCATGATCTATAAAACCCTATATGTCTTAGCGCCTGGTTATTTGAGGGACTGCCTGTCTCCCATACCATCCGCCTGGCTGATTCAGTCCTGCAGGGTTGGCGTGTTCCTGGTTCCTTTGATTAAAGAATGCCATCCACTGGGACCCTGGAAGTGTGCCTTCTTTTTTGTTTTGTGTTGTTTTCTTGTTTTAATATTTTTTTTTAACAATCTGTAAACTGCCCAGTCGCAAGGCATATACATTAAACAAACAAGGAAGGAAGGAAGGAAGGAAGGAAGGAAGGAAGGAAGGAAGGAAGGAAGGAAGGAAGGAAGGAGACACACCATGTACAGTTAATATTAAACTGTTCTATTCGTTACATTAACTGCCACTTTATTCAGAAGTTAGAACATTTTTGGAAAGTTTTTTTTACTGAAATTATAACTGATGCAGCAATCCTATTTCCCTACTAGAAAGCATCATTACCCCTTAATTCTGGGTAAATATGTACAGAGTTAAATGTGATCCTAGTTTGAGAAAGATAACCAGACATATAATTGTGTCTGAAATGATCTGTACTGCTATTTGCTGCATAAAATGACATAATGAACTGTATCATTATACACATCTTTCTTAATTTTAGTTTGATTTTCTTAATTAATAGTTTGATTTTTGTTTCTGTTCATCCAGGAAACATTGTGGTCTTGTGGTCGACATGCAGGACGTCAGTTTTTAAGTCAGTAACCAACCGATTTATTAAGAACTTGGCCTGTTCTGGGATCTGTGCCAGCCTCGTCTGTGTGCCTTTTGACATTGTTCTCAGTACCAGTCCACACTGCTGTGGGTGGGTCTACACCATGATCTTCTGTAAAGTCATCAAATTTTTGCATAAAGTCTTCTGCTCAGTGACCATCCTTAGCTTTCCCGTCATTGCTCTGGATCGGTAAGACAGTAAGATTACTCATAGATTATTTTTCAACTCTCATCCTTTGTAATTCAAGATGGACAAATCTGTTAACTAACTTTCCTCTGATTTTATTTATTTATTTTGCCTGTCTTTTGTTTGTCTTATTTCCATATCAACTTGATATTTTTTAAAAATAAAAAGATTGTATACACAATCAAAGTTAAGCAACTTGTGAAAGGAGTTGCACCGAGACAGAGAACTGACTTATACAATACGGGTGCTGGCTGTTCTTTTTAAATGGCTTTAGTAATTTAGCCTGATTGGTTGTTTGTTTTAATCTTCCTAATCACTAACATGTTAATTTTCCTGTGCATTTACCATCCACAGCAAGCAAGGAAGATAATTACACTTTTTAAACTACTTATCAAGAGATATTATGGATTCTAAGTCTCAGCCTTATTGCCTGTAATATCTGTAATAACAATATTTGAAGGGCTTGACAGAAGCTCCTTTTTGATTTTTCACTAGCTAATTAATACTGCCCTTATCTATTCATTGGTTCCCATCACTAGCAAAGTTTACGCTGGATGGGTTCGTCTTCTAATCATTTATTGAATAAGTCACAGCTAGCTTAGCTAAGGTTAAATCATAATCCATGGTTTATAAACCACAATGGTTGTTGATAAATTATGCTAAGCCCAGAGGAAGAAACTACATTATGTCTTAATGTGATATGTGAACTGAGCATTGTGTACCAGTAGTGGAATTTTTATGTCACGTGCAACAATTGTGTATTTTAGCAAATCGACTCTTTCTGTACTGTAGCAATCTTCCTTCTGATGCATCAATGAATTATACAGCTTGGCTGGAACTGCTACATTCTAAGAAACCTGGTTGATTTTATTCTATTCACAAAGCAGTTTGAAACAAAAGAGGTCATGAGACAGTGTAGAAAAACAGCAGTTTCAGGGTAAATTCTGTCCCCCATTATTGATACTAGTTGATTGATACTAGTTGCATTGGTCATTATTTCATGAAGAGTTAAATCAGTGGGTTAAAAAAAAAAGTGTACACCAGATCTAATATTGGAACATCTTGAATCCTGACATCTCTGATAATAGTTCAAGTTTAATCTAAATAATAGGTCAAGTAACAATATTCTGTATATTTAACTATTTGGAGATGGAGTCTAACCTGGTAGAAGTAAGAAGGAATGGTGTTTCTATATCCCTTATAGATATTTCTGCTCTCTCCTTTGTTTTTTGGATAGGTACTATTCAGTCTTATACCCACTGCAAAGAAAGATATCGGATGCCAAATCGCGAGATCTGGTGATCTATATTTGGGCTCATGCAGTGGTGGCCAGCATTCCAGTCTTTGCTGTGACCCATGTGTCAGACATATATGCTATATCCACTTGTACTGGGCCCTGGAGTTACTCTATTGGCCGTTTAGCATATGTTATCACTTACAACCTTACCACTGTGATTTTACCGGTGGCTGTGGTATTTCTCTTTATGGTCCTCATCCGCAAGGCACTGAGCGCCAGCCAGAAGAAAAAAGTTGTTATAGCTGCCTTAAGAACCCCTCAGAATACAATCTCTATTCCTTATGCCTCCCAGAGAGAATCTGAACTTCATGCCATGTTGCTGTCTATGGTTATGATTTTCATTTTCTGCAGTATTCCCTTTATGACTATGGTAGTTTATCACACTGTCCTCGATTCTTCTGATACCTCTGTCTACTTGCTTCTCACTGCTATCTGGTTGCCTAAAATATCACTGCTGGCCAACCCACTGCTTTTCCTTACTGTTAACAAATCTGTTCGAAAATGTTTAGTAGGGACAATAGTGCAATTACACCAAAGGTATAGTCGGAGGAACATGGTCAGTTCTGGGGGTGCTGTGGAGGCCAATCTGGAATCTCACGTTCGTTCTGGCAGCCAACTCCTAGAAATGTTTCACATTGGGCAGCAGCAAATTTTCAAGCCCACAGAGGATGAAGAGGAAAATGAAGCTAAATCTGTGGACTCCAGTAACTACCAACAGGAGGAGATACCCACAACCAGCTTAGATGTAGAACAAGCCCAGATTCAGAGGTCTGTATGTCCTGCAGTTGCAGATTCTGCTGCACAGATAGCTCCAGCTTTCTCTACAGAAGCAGAATTGGCCAATGAAAAGTATTCTACGCAATTGGGCTTTGGACCTTTTGAGCTGCCCCCCCAGTGGCTATCAGAAAACCGGAATGGTAAGAAACGGCTACTGCCTCCATTGGGAAATACACCGGAGGAGCTGATCCAGACAAAGCAACCCAAGGGTAGATCTGAACGAAAAATGAGCAGAAACAATAAAGTCAGCATCTTCCCGAAAGTGGATTCCTAGTCAAGGAAGGAGTTCTGTATGATGAGAGAAGACTGCCTTCTTGCATCTATGTGATCCTATGGATCTGTGCTAAGATGAAATTAAAGGCTTATTTTTGTGCCAGTTTATGTAAAAACCAAAACATAAGTGTTCCTTATGAATGGGTTTTGTTATGAACATCTATTTCCCTATTTCACAATACCCATTTCCCCCATTATATAGAAGACAAGTGGACTATTTTCCAAAGAGATTATTTGGATTATTCTTGCCCTACAGACTGCTTCCTCTACTGTGATCTTTAAGACTTTAAGTGCAGCAAGTCTGTACATTAGGGCTACCAAATTTGGACTGCAAAGATCAGGATGAACATGAGAAGGCAGCAAAGCAGCACCGAAAACTTGGTACCTTTGCTGACATTGAGTGGTCATTCTGAGTTTTGCTGTATTTTATGCACACACGCACCCACCCACCCACCCACCCACTCACACACCGATCTTACAGACTGAGATGTTCTATTAGTAGTTCAGTTATAGAATTCCAGGGAAAGGAATGCAGTGAGTATCTAGGAACTACCATTCCTTGGGATTCCATGTTTTGACTCTCATACAAAAAGCACTCAGAATCTTTTAAGGAGTGTTACATGACTTGGCAACTTGGAATGTCTTTTAGCAATTAAAAAGACCTTGAGCATTCCAATGATATTTTGTAACTTGGTAAGCATTTTGTCCTTTTTTTTACTGTTATTTTTAAGTATGTTAGGCAGGCTCCTGCTGTTGCAGTAAGCATGTGCTAAATCCATGCATATGATTTTAGATATGCTTCCAATAACGCATTTCCTTTAGGGACTGACTTTTACTGGTCTGAATCCTGCAAGCTTTTGATCAGTGGAGCTGCAGCAACCTGAGAGATATAATAATAGATACATTTGATAATGGTACTACATCAAATGGCCACAGCCAATGTTGAATATAGATATATGATCATTACATTTAATAATTACCATGCTCCCCGAATCTCTTTTTTTCTATTCAGTCTTTTCTCTACTTCTCATAATAATGTGTTCACCACTGTGGTAAAAGGGCACTAAGATGGTTGTTGCTGTTTTGTCTGGTATACGATAGAGCAGGGTTTCTCAACCTCGGCAACTTTAAGATGTGTGGACTTCTTAAAGAAGTCCACACATCTTAAAGTTGCCAAGGTTGAGAAATCCTGCAATCGAGTAAAGTAGGAATCACTGTGTTAATATTAGTCTTAACGCCTGACTCTATCACACTTGCACATTCTCAGTGGCTAATACATAGAAAACACTTCTTCGTTATGGCACTAACAAACCTTATAACATTTTTTCTCTTTCCTACCTTGTTTTTTTAAATTAAATTTTAATTAAATGGTATAATGTAATTATTTTGCCTGTGATTCTTCACCATTTGATTTGCTGAAGGTACTGCAGTTTATCTTGGTTTGTTGACAGGAAAAGAAAAGATTTTAAAATGTATTCTGGCTTAGATTTGTTGACTTCTTGAGGGGGGTGGATTCCAAGGGATATCTTAGTGCTGATTTGTAATACAGTAACTGAAGAGATGCAAAGTAGATCTGACCTAGGCTCTTTTTAATCAAATTGGCATGCAGATTATGCAAACTGAATATGGAAATACAGAGGAAAAAATCATGAATAATAAAAAATCATGAATAATTAATATTAGTTTTCTAATATTTTAAGACAATTTTAATCATTAAAAAAGCTTAGAAAGGCTTTTTTTCTTTTTAAAAACCCAAATATCCATTAATCTAAACATAACCTATAACTGAAATTTTCTCCCCAAGAACTGATTACAGCCAACTCATTGTGATACTGTTTTGGACAAAGTTGCTTAAATGCCATGATAAAGACTGAGACGTTTTGAACACTACAGGAGGGTTAGGAAAACTGAATCTCAGATACTGGAAGTCCAATTCCTAAACAGCATAGCCAATTACTAGGAATTTTGAGTTACTCCAACAGCTGGCGGACCACCACTTTATACAGCATATAAAGTGTAGCATATTATAAATAGTTCACAACTCAGTAATATTTGAAAATCATTCCTGACTATCTAATGCAGTGGTCAGCTCTACAGTATTGCACTTTAGAAGTCAAAGACTATTGCAATAACAATCATCTTAAGTGTAGCCAGACACTTCACTGTGTGTCTGTTTCCCCCTCTTCTGTATCATGACTGTGGGTTACTAACTATTCCAATGTAAGCCAATCTTGAAAGTCCTTTGTCTCTTCCAGTTACTAGTTTGCAAGCAATCTTCCTCCACCACATCCCCCCACTGCAAAATTGGCCACATCAATTCATTCCAAAGTCCTAAACTGATTCTATAAACTCAGACACTCCTGCTTTAGAATAGATAGCTTGTGCTTACTGAGCCATTGAATACAGTAGGATTCTGGATGTTAACTATTAGTAAATATTTTTACTTTTAACATACCATTTCCTGAAATAACTGCTATGGTTATAGCAATCATATCTAAATAGCACCATGTTTAACACTAGGGGAAAAAACAGCATAAGTGGAGCTTATAAGACAAAGGTGTTCTTCCTTAATTATTTTGAAATATCAAAGGGATCTACAGTTTCTAAAAATCTAAGAGTTATTTCTATATGTTACTGATGGTAAACTTTGCAATAAAATTTGTAAATAATTTATTACCGCCGTGCCAAGTTTTTCTGTTTCTTTGCGTCTCAATTTTTCATTATAGAAAATTGTTTTTTGTTGGTTTTGCTTTTGTTTAAATTCTTAATTCTTGAAAATATCTAATATATTTACCTGACTGAAGACATTTAAGAATTCTTATGCTTTAAGAATTGTTTTTAATCTGAACATTTGACAAAATACACTCTGATTAGCAAACTCATTAAGTGTTGCTAAATGGCTGGATACGTAGCTGGTTCAAAAACCACTCTGCTCGTCAGTGGTTCCTCAGCAAACTGGAGAATGGTATCAAATGTGGTGCTGCAGGGTTTGATCCTGAGTATTATTCAACATTTGTATTAATGACACACATGACCTAGTAAAAGACTGCTTGCCAGATCTGTAGATGTAACAAAGATGTATTGGATGGGACAGATCATACTATAGAATATGGGGGGGGGCATCTCAGGATCCCAGGACTGCATGAATTTCCCTACCTCCTGTATTTGGCTGCTGCTAGAACCACCTCTGATCACTATTGCTAAAAATCATGTGTGGTTTCCTGCCATTGGAAGTGGAAAAGACATAACCAGTACAGGTTTTGTTTTTTTGTACCTTCAAGTCAGTGTTGACTCCTGGTGACTGCCTGGACTAGTAGCCCCTGAAGTTTTCTTGGCAAGATTTTGGAATTGGTTTGCCACTGCCACCTTCCTAGGGCTGAGAGAGAATGACTGGCCCAAGGCCACCCAGCTGGCTTTGTGCCTAAGGTGGGACTGGAACTCACAGTCTCCCGGTTTCTAGCCTGATGCCTTAACCACTGCACCAGACTAGCTCACTAAGCAATACAACCTGAGCCCTAAAATAGGCTTATGTAAAAGAGCACATACAAAAACATGTATACCTTGGATTTGGTAGGTTTGCCCCTCTAGCTCCTTTGAGTAGGGGGCCCTAAGGCCTTCTCCCAGAATCATTACAGCACTCACACACACCTAGGGAAAGGAGTCTGTTCAGTAAAGCCTGCCACTGGCCACTTTTCCTAAAAAAAACCCCCAAAAAACCCCACTCTAGTGTTGAATTATACATAATACATAAAGAGGTGACTCTTCTTCTGCTTTGTTTCCTATTTATAGATTAACCAAGCAAGGAGATGTTTGTCTTTTCTAAATGAATGTCATGGATTTAGTCAAATACAAGTCTTTTTTAGGTATATCAAGGTTAAAGAACTAAGGAAAAAAAGCAAAAGAAAATAACAATGACTTCTAAAGGAATTATCCCAGCTGTTGCTCCTTCAATCAGCACCTGCCTGTACATACAAAGTACAAAGAACAAAGAACAAAGTTAGAACAAAGAATAGCAAAATATAACAAACGAACCATAGCTCAAAACATTTTCCCTAAAACAGTACCCAAAATTATAATCTGCACCTAGCTCCACTGTTTGTGACATTGCCATAATTTTCCTCAATCTCCAACCCAGTCTTTGAGCTAGTCCAGGAAGAGATGCTCCTGTGACAACAGGGTTGGATTAAGACCAACCAATGCCCTAAAGCACAGCCCAACAATGGTGCCCCTTGGCCCATCCCTTGCTTAACTGACAAGACATTAAGACTCAAACTTGGAAACTTTAGTCACTCACCATGCCAAAGAAAGCATTTTTTAACAATGCAGATTAAAGCTGAACATGGCAGAGAAGGATGTCAGAAGGATTAAACACCTTCCCTTGTTTAATCCTTCTCTTTCCAGTTTTTCAAACTGGAAAAAATGTACACCAGAGATCAGTGGAGGTCAAAGATATTACATTTATTCAACCCAAAGTTGCCAAATAACTTTGGGTGGCAGCCACGAAGGACTTCTCTTTGTTTCCCTTTTTATAGGGTTCTGAAGTTTAGAAATTTAGCTAATCATTATCAATGGAATGGAATGTACTAGCTTATTACAAACAATCTTAGAGCAGATGCCTCCTTATTTATAGCTGAACAAATGTCTCTTTATCTAGAGCTAAAGCAGAAATGTTTTAAATGGGCATTTCGTCTAGACATGTGTTTTTCTATGTGTAAGATTTATGTCTTCCCTTACACAGGTATGCATGGATTTTGCTACGCAATGCCTTTATTGTTTCTAATGGAGAAGCAGCTGCCAGAGAAGGCAGCTACTGTCTATTCACTACTGTCTATACAATCTTTAAACATAGAAGAAAAAATATTCCAGCAAGGACGATTACAAAAAAATCAACTAAAGTCAGGTGTGGCAGTGAATGAGTGAAGCGCATGATAGCTAAGGGGAAAAAACTCTGGTGCCGCTCTTCCCTAAGCATGGGCTTCTTGTGCTTAATGGTGAAGCCCACTGAAAAAGAAATCTTCCTGTTTCTAACTGGCTTTTCGGCATTATTTTTCAAAGGCTTCAGATGTCTCTGCCTTTTTGCCTGGACTGGGAGATCTGGTTTCCTTTAACCCTTTCAGTGTCTAAACCTCTTGGAATACGGTTTCTCCCCATTTGCTGTACTGTAACTTTAAAATAATTCATACGAGAGAACTCTCAAATTCTCCACAAAGGCATATGAAAAAAGTAATAATAAAAGCCAGTTTGCCTCATTACATCTCCTACTGCAGCCCACAGGTCTCTAAAAAATGCCAAGTCAAGCTCCAGAAATCAAAAATTGCTTCCTGTGCTCAAGAAGGCAGAAACAAAGTTCAAAATTATGTTTATAGGTTAAGAAAACAGGCTGAAAAATAGAATGAATTTAAAAGTGATAAAGGGAAAATTTGTCACACCGGAAACAAAAGT